GGCCCCCCAGGCGCCGGGGGCGGAGAAGCGGGCGGCGGGCCTCGTCGCGGACCCTCCACGCCCGGGCCGCCTTCCGCTGGGCAGCCGGTGCCGCGGCCGTCAGCTTCTCGCCCGCGCCGCGCCTCTCCCTGCGGGCTGGACCTGCGCGACGCGCCCGGGATGGACGGGAGGGCGCCGGGGAGGCGGCCGCGGGCCGCCCGCAAGAGGGCGACCGGCAGCGGGGGGCCCCCCGGCCAGGCCCCGAAGAGGAGGAGGAAGCGGCCCCTCGCGGCCCCCCGCAGGGCGGCCCCCCGCTACCTCGTGCACGAGACCGACGACGACGTGCTGCTGCTCATTCCCAACGTGGGGGCGGCTCCCGAGCGCCCGCGCCAGAAAGTGCCCGGGAAGAGGGAGCGGACGCAGAAGCCGGTGCGGAAGAGGCCGCAGCAGAAGCGCGCGGGGGAGAGAGGAAGCGGCCCGGAGCAGGGCATTGAAGGAGGGCCTGTGGCCGGCCAGCAGGTGCCTCCCGGCCTCCCCGAGGGAGAAGGGGAGGCGCTCCCTCCAGCCGCCCCGTCGGCTGCACAGGGGGCCTGGGGCAAGCAGCTCCCCGTGGAGATCCTGGTCCAGATATTCCGGCTCGTGGTGGCGTTGGAAGGCTCTGTGCCCTTCCTCTGCAGGTGGGTGCAGGTGGCGGCGGCTGCAGGTGCAGGAGGAGGGGCCACAGAGCCTGCGGAGCCCCCGTGCTTTGGCTGGAAATGCCCAGCTGCCTTTGCTGACAGTGTGCTCCTGCGTTCTTGTGCCTAGGATGGCTCGGGTGTGCCAGCTCTGGTATGGCGCCGCTTCCAGTCCTGCGCTTTGGAAGAAGGTGTCTGTCAGCCATTGCTGGACAACCCCCAGCAAAAAATGTCCCCCTGCCCTAGAGAAGAGAGTCCTGGGCACAGTGGAGTGGCTGGCTGCCAACAGGTGAGGACTGGCCTTTGCCCTATGGGAGCGAGGAGCGTGGTCAGCTGCCAGACCCCCCCCCCCCGGCCGAGGCTCTGCGCTGTCTGGCCTCTGCAGCCTCCTCCATGCTCCTTGGAGCCTGCCAGGAACTAGGAATGGTTTTTGGCTTGCTTTCTCTTTGTAGATTTTCCCATCTCCAAGACTTTGCTCTCTGTCACTGGAAGAGTCACGTGGCTTTCGTCCTGAAGGTGAGTGCTGCTTGTGCCATTTCTGCCTTCCTACCAGTCTTGGAAGCTTGCGTTTGGGAAGTGGGCAAAACGACGCACAGGAAGCCAGTGGGTGCTGGCCTGCCTGCCTGCCTGCCTGCCTGCCTGCCTTCCTTCTGCAGCGCATTGCAGAATTTTGTCTTGGCGGGAGAGAGCACCTGAGCAGCTGTGGCCAGGTGCCTTCTGCCAGGTAATCTTCCTTTCCTGACCTGAATTTTCAGGCACTTGGCAGTTCTTGTCCTCTCCTTGCATCTCTCAAACTGTCCTATTGCGGTGGGGTCACCACAGAGTCCCTGTGCGCACTGGCCGGATGCTGCCCGCAGCTTAATAGTCTGAATCTGCAGAACTCCCAGGTGACGGTTCAGCCATTGCAAAATGTTTGGCTTAAGGTTGGGATTTGGAGGAGGGCTGTACCAGAAGCAGAGCCGTCCTGAATCGGAGCAGAGGCCTGCCTGGCCCAATTTTTGGCTCAGTAGTGGCCAGCCAGGCCCCCACTGGCTCCCCCGAGCGGGACAGGAGTGCCGCAGCGCCCTTCTAAGCATGGTCTCTGAGGCCGAAGAACAGCCCCGCTGGGTCTCCCGGCACTTGGAGGGCACGAGGGTGCCCAGGTGCCCACAGGCTCGCCCAGGCAGGATGGTGGAACGGCTCCTCCTGCCCAAGCTGCTCGGCTGCGCCTGGTCAGACAGCAGAGGTGGCACCTAGCCAAGAGGGCTGGTAGCCGTGCGTGGCCACCTCCTCCGTGCACTTCCCCAGTCCTCTCCAGCAGAGTTGAACTCCACAGCGCCTGCAGAGGGGCCTCCCGTTCGCCCTGCGCCTCCCGTCACCGGCTCCATGGGGAGAGCCCCCTTGGTTTCCGCTGCCGTGGGGTGCCAGCTCAGCCTCGGCCGGCGACTGCTGCCTGTCTTCCGTGTGACTAGGTTGACTCCTCAGCAGTGCTCAGACTCCTGGAAGCCGCTGGCCCTCGGATCCGGTGCCTGTGGCTGACGTACAGCAGCCGAATGAGCGCCATTATGGCTGTGCTCTCGGTAAGCGGAAGGCCCCTGGGGGGGTGCCCATCCCGCCCCGGGTGATCTCCGTATGATGCGGAACCTCTGGGTGGGGGGTCAGGAAGTACCACTGCTGCTTACTGTTCCTGTCTGGCTTGGGAACGGCAAGGCCTCCGTGCCCCCCCCCCCGCCTCACAGCAACCCCAACGAGCTGTCCCGGGATGCTTCCGTCCTGAGCAACCGGGGCCTGCCTCTGCTCTCCCCCCGGAGCAGCTGCTGGGGCTGAATCGGCATCCCGCTGCCAAGTGCCCTGCGCGCACCTGGAACTGCTCCGGCCAGCGTGTGGCTGCTCTGAGGACTGGACCTCCGGCAGGAAGGGCCCATCTGTGCCGCCCCTTCTGGGCCTCTCAGTGCTTTCGGCCCCCGGGCTTCCTCCTACCATAACCCTGATGCCTTCCAGACACGTTTCAACTACGACACCCAGCATTCCCAGTGAACTGGATGGGAACCTGGGAGGTGCGGTCCAAATGCCTCTGAAGGCCACCAGGTTGGGAAGGGCTGCTTTGCATCATCCGTGATGCCTTTCCCGGGGCCAACGGGGTCGGCCTTCGTTTTCCAGAGTGGCAGCTGTCCGGAACTGCGGCTCCTGGATGTGAACACGGAAATTGAGCAGAGCAACCAGCACTTCCAGCTGCCCGTTGAACAGCTCCAAGCAGCCTGCCCCCAGCTGCAGGTGCGCAGGATGTGGCCTGCGGCTGCCCGGGGCAGATGGGCTGGTGGCTCCGAGGCTGCCGGGAAGTGCCGCGACATCGCCACGTCCTCGCCCGGGCTGCGTGCGAGTGCCACGCGCGGCCTTTGCCCGCCGCACGCTCTGGTCGGGTTCTTTGCCAGGGGCTGCCTGAGGGAGGAAGCAGCCCGTGCAGGTTGTCCGCGGCGGGGGGGATCCGGGCCCGGCCCCGTTCCACGTGTGCGGGCGCGGAGCAGTTTGCCGACGAACCGAGGGCCGCTGGGCGCCAGCTCCGTGTGTTCCCGCCCGCAGCGCCGTCTGTCCCTGTCTCGCAGGTGCTGCGCCTGATCAACATCGTCTCCTTCCCCAAGCCCCTCCCCGCCTCCGCCCCCAGCTGCCCGGGCTTCCCGCTGCTCGAGGAGCTGTGCCTGGCCACTGCGTACTTCTCCCTGGTGGACGACCGCATGCTCCAGCGCCTCCTGCGCGCCTCGAGCCGGCTCCGCGTGCTGGACCTGCGCGGCTGCTTCCGCGTGACGCCCAGGGGCTTGGGCCTGCTGCCGTGCCCAGGTGGGTGGGCGAGGAGCGGCTGCCTTCGCGTGGGTTCTGCCACCGTGGGGGGGGGCGTTGCCGGGTGTCGTCCCCTCGCCCAGGCCTCGGCCACGCCTGTCGGCCGCTCTGCGTGCTCAGCCAAGGGTCCCGCACAGAAGAGGTCGGTGCCCCACTCTAAGACACCACGCAGCTCCGTGCTGAGCTGGGCCGCTCTCCCCGGCCCCGAGCGACGGCAGAGGGAACAGCGTCCTGCGGGGGGAGCGGCTGTGTGTGGGGAAGTGGGGCTCCCTCCCTCTGGTGGGGGCTTCACACTTGGGCTCCTTTCGTTGCAGAGCGGGGGACAGGGCAGCTGGGTGGCTGTCTGCAGGGATGGAAGCTGGGTGGGGCAGAGACCGCTTCCTCCATCTGCGCGCTCTTTGCTCCCCCTCCCATCTTGTATGCGCTGGGGACAAGCAGGGGGCCTCCGTCTTGTGTCGTGGGCGCCAAGGGTGAGGATTCCTCTGCAGAAGCTCTGCAGGGGGAAATCCCCGGCCCCAAAACTAAGCTGGTCCTGGGAGTCCGTCACCCCCCCACCCCGGCCAGGATGCTCAGGGTGACCTTGAGCTGGGAAACGGCCGGAGGCCCCCGCACTGGCAGCGCTGCGGTGGTGGGGGCGTCACGCCGACTGGGTAAAGGCAGCTCGGGCTCCGAGAGAGGGGTTGATTTTCCCGGTGTCCGAGATGGCCTTTGAGCAGCTGGTCACACCACTCTGATTTCCGTGCGCAGCGATCACTTCGGTCGCGAAATGGGATGCCCTTCCTGTCGTGAGCAGCCGTGTCGATGGCACGAGGGTTCAGGGGAGGCCTGTGGCCTGGGACTCTGGCGAGGGCGGGCGGGCGGGTGACCCTGTGATGCTGCCACGGGCTGCCCCTCCTCCCTGTCATTTGCTGTGTTGGTTTTAAAAGTAACAGGTAGATAATCTCAGAACCGACCTGTTGGCCGTTAGATCTTCCCCACCACTCTGAACGTCCAGCGGCCGGTCACTCCTTGCTGTGAAGCACGGGTGGCTGCTCCTTGGGAGGTCTGGCCTCCCGGCATGCTCGGTCAGACAGCCCCGTGCGGTGGGCAGGCGCCAGGGAAGCCCCTCTCTCCTCACAGGCCGTGGGCCCGCAGCCCCCTTGCGCTTGCCTCAGGCACTGCTGGGGCTGCCCCCCCCCCCCCCCCTAATTCCCGGGTGCTTCTGCAGACGTGGAGCAGCTCTACCTGGGCCTGTACTGCAGCGCCAACCACCTGCGCCTCCCCCTGGAGGGGAGCCCCCTCATCACCGGGAAGTGGAGCCACAGCCTGCGGGAGCTGGACCTGACCGGCCAGTGCTTCAGCGAGAGCGACCTGGAGCAGGCGATGGCCGCCTTCGCTCTGGAAGCAGGCACACGGCGGGAGCCGGTCCTGCGCTCCCTCAACGTCGCCGGGACCAAGGTTGCCGTCAGCACCGTCAGGTGAGCCAGCTGGGTCCCGGGGGCGTGCGCTTCTGCTCACGAGGGCTCAGGCGGGCTGCACAGAACGAGCGAGGGCCGGAGGCCTTCCAGCAAGCGAAAGCCCTTGCGGAAACCGGAACTCAGCAACGGGGGGAAGCCAAACGCTGGCAAACACCCGGACCCCCGAAGCAGGGCCTGAGCCACAGCAGCCGGCCCCGGCAGGAGCCGTCGGTCAGGGCAGGCGCCAGGAAGGGCTGGAGGAGGGAGGCCTGGCAGCCCTGCAGCGCCGCCCCACCAGCAGCCAGTGTGCCCGGAGGGGGGCGGCCCTGGGTGCCCCCGCAGCCGCCTCTCCTGGGGTTGCGCTCGAGGGCCGGAGCTGCCCTGCCCTGCCCTGCCCTGCCGTCCAGCCTGCTCTGGGGCGCTCGGGGGCCACAGTGCTGCTCTCCCACCTGTGACGTCTGCCGAGACTGCCTCTGCATGCTTGGAGCCGGCCGGGTGCTGCCGCCCTGCTGCGGCTGGTGCCGTCGCGTCCTGCCCGTCCTCTTTGCGGGAGGTCGGGGGGGCAGGCGGCCCGGGCGTTCCCCAGGGCCACGAGCGGAAGGCACAGCCGCTTGGGGGGCCTCGCCACGCTGCCGCTTCCCGACGAGGGCGGTTGGGGAGGGGCCGGTGTGGCGCCCTGGGAGCCTGGCTGACCCGCGTTTCTTCTCCCTGCCGCGTGGCACAAAAGCGCCCTGATCGCGAGCTGCCCTGCCCTCGGCTACCTCAACCTGTCGTCCTGTCGCCACTTGCCGCGGGGCACCAAGAAGGCGTACCGTGGCCGCGCGGAAATCCACCAGTGCCTGCAGCAGCTGCTCTCCAGCTCCGAGGAGCCCGCCCGCGCAGAGGGGCCCACGTGACCGCGGCCTCCCCGAGGAGCCCGCCGTGCCAGCGCCGGTGCAGCCTCTCCTCCGCGACGGCTGCCCCGTTCTTCTCAGGAGCTGCGCCGATCCTGGCGGGACCCCCATCCCTGCCAGGGCGGCATCCCTCCGGCCCACAGGGGCGTGCGCAGAGCCCCGCAGACGGCGGGGAGCCGGCGGGCCTCCCAGTGTCACAGGAGGGAACTTCTCAGGGCGCTCGTCTGCTTCCCTTTGTGCCTTGTGTGTGTCTTCTCTGGGGTGTGTAGATCTCAAGTCGAGCAGCATTAAAAGAAAGAGGTGCTTTGGTTCTGCTGAGCGTGGCCTCCCCTTCCCTGGGCCTGGGGGCTGGGTCGGCGTCCCAGGGGGAGGGGGTGATGGAAGGGCTTGCCTGGGGAGAAGCTAGCCGGGAGGGCTCTCCTCCAGCTGTCCACCCCCGCAGGATTTTGTGGCATGATGGCGCTTCTTCAGCAACCCCAAAAGACCAGCGGGGTTCAAGATTTCTCTAGTCAGGTGGAGGCTTCTTTGGGTCCGAGCTGTTGGGCCGTCTGGATGCCGCTTGCACGCTCCGGATTTTCGCTCTTACAAACTGAGACGATGACAAGGAGGAGCCCTGCCTTTGCTGGCTCATCAAAACTAAGACACGCTGCCCAGTGGGTTAAAAAGTGTCGGCCTTGGGAGTCACTTGGGCTCACTTCCAGTTTAAAGAGGGAGGTGAAAACGAACAGGCTGCTGGGAACTTTTGCCTGGGCCCACTTGCAAATTTGGAAGTGGCAGGCGAGGAGGGAAGGAGGGCAAGCGGATCTGTTGGGGAAGCGGTGGTCATGTGGGGCGCAAGGGCTCGTGCGCCGGATGCCGCCCGTCTGCAGTGTCGGGCCTGGCCTTCAGCTCGGCCGGCTCCTGCCCCAGGGCTGGCGCATTTTCCGTGTCAAAAGCGTCTTCCGGCGACGGGGTCCAGCAGCGCCGCTTCCCTTTGCTGAAGGATTGCTTGCCTGCAGCCTCCACCATCGACACTGGGAATAGTGGGTTCTTCCCGGAGTCGGATGTGGGAGAGGAAGTGAAGCGGGAAGGGGCGCCCCCACAGCTTGCCAGCCACCGGTGATCCCAGTTTCCATGGGGATGGGGGGTTCTGTTGCGGGGTTGCTACGGCACCGGTGCTGTGGCCGCCCCACTCCGCCTGCGGGGCCGGCTGGGGATGGATGCACAGGACCGGGCCGGCGCCTCTGGGGTCTCCTTGGCTCTGCCAACCCTGCGTGAGGGTCAGTGGCTATAGGAGAGGCTGGGGGGTGGCGGGTGGTCCCGGAGGGAGGGCTGCTGGTGCTGCCGTTCCGCCTTCCTGAGGTGAACGGACTTTTTCCTGCCACAAAAGGGGCAGAAGCACAGGAGGGTCGTCAGTGGGCGGTAGAAGGCCTGGAGTGGCAGAACATGCTGCGAGCGAGGCAGGCAGGACAGGGGTGCGACAGAAACACAGGGAACTCCCACAAGCACCACCAGCTTAGGCAGTGGCCGGGGGCCATGGAATCGGTAGTCAAAGCACTGGGCAGCTTGCCCTTTTCTGGGAAGATGGCGTGGAAGAGGAGGGAGCAACCCAAGCAGTGAGGAGGAGGAGGAGGAGGCCGTGTGGCTGCTTCTGGGTGGGTAGCAGGTGCGCACGGCCTCTCCCCAAGCGCATCCTCGTGGGCCGCTCTGCCCCTCCCCGCAGGTGCCCGCCCACAGCACCTGTGCTCCGCCTCCTCGGCTCACCTGGCGCTCGCTTTCAGGGCCTGCCAGCCCCAGAGCACAGCAGAGGGGGCTGGGCACCACGGAGGGCCCGGGTCTCGTCGCCTGCGTGCAGGGAGATGGAGTCGACTGGCGTGTCAGCAGGCGCAGTGGCCTGTCCTGGTCCCACAGCCCCAACGGCCGGGCTCACCCTGGAGCCCGGCAGGCCAAGAACCCGGAGGCAGCGGCTCCTGTGCGGGTTGCCAGGTCTTCCCAAGCGCAGCTGGAGGCCGCCGAGCACGAGCCGGCAGTGCCTGCGGCACAGCTGGAGCCACCAGGCCCGTGCAGGCACGGGGCGCGAAGGAGCGGGTCATGGCGCTCTGCCCAGGCCCCCACGTCCTTCCGGCGCAGCAGGCCTGCCAAATCCCACTGACGCGAGGCAGGCAGGCTGGGGGGGCAGAGCGACCGGCCTGCCCGGAGGCCGCTCCCCCCCACTCCCCGCGTGAGCCGCCCCCACTGCTCCCGGCTGGCTTGCCTGTGCAGCCCCCCGCCTGCCCACCTGCCCTGTGACAGGCAGCCCCCTCCTCTCCCGCAGGCCCTTCGGGAGAGAGGGGCACCCAGGGCGGATGGCCCTGTCCGTTTTCAGGGGGCCCCTCACCCTCTGGCGCTGCAACTTCATCAACTCGGAGAAGCACCTGACTGAGAAGCTGCAGGAGAACAAATACTTCCCGTTCCAGGTGCAGCAGCCGAAAGGTGAGTCCAGGCTCCAAGGGGAAAGTGCAACCAAAGCGCTGCTTGGACCCCCTGTGACCACCCGCCAGCCCCCCCAGGGGTTCACTCAGAATGCGGGAGCAGGGCTGGGGGCGCCCTGCTGCCCGGCCCCCCTCCGCCCGGCCCCAGTCACCAGCTTCCGCCACAAGCAGCTCCCCTCCTCCCCCAGGCCTTCCGGGGGCCCTGGCAGTGGGACGCAGGAGGTGGGGAAGGGGCAAATGCCCCGCATGGCAAAGACCAGGCCCAGTCCAAGCCCGCGGCTCCAACCCCGGCCCTGCCTCTGGCCAGGGAGGAGGCGGCACGCGGGAGAGGCGGGCCTCTTCTCGAGGAACCGGGGCAGGGTGCTCTTCTCCCAGCGTTCCTCCTTTCCTGCCAGGCGAATGGATTGCGTGGGTGGGGGCTGCGTGGACGGGACTTGGGTGCTTTCACAGTACACACAGCAGCACCTGGCCCAGGGCAGAAAGAGCCGGGCAGAAACGCCAGCCTGTGCCAGCACCGAGCATTCGGGAAGGCGCCTCCCGCTTTTGGGAAGGGGGAAAAAGGCGCCACAGCAGGTCGTGGGAGGGCAGAGCTGCAGCGGGGGGCCAGCGACCGCGGGAGGCTGGACGGGCGCACGGGGCGGGCGGCGCTGGTCTGCGCGCTCGGCTTCCGCCAAGCGCGCCCCTCCGGGCACAGCAGGCACGGGCACGGCACACCCCCATGCACGGGGCGTGTGCCCGCCTCGGGGGCTGGATGCGCCACCACCCTCTTTTCTAAGGGCCTCGCACGCACGGCGCCTGGAGCCGCCCTTTCCTCCGCGGGGAGCCGGTGCCCGGCCCTGCGGCCCCGCTCCGAGCCCCCTCGCGAGCGCGCGCTGCCTCTCCCTGCAGTGTTCGTGATGGAATACTACAAGGACATGATCTGGAAGGGCGCGCTGCTGTTCCTGGCCTCGCTGGTGGCCAGCATCTTCTACTTCCGAGCCACGAAGGTGGGCAGTGGGTGCGGGGTGTGGCGGTCCCTCGCGCAGACCGCCCTTCCGGAGGGCTTCCGGCGATTCCAAGGCCACGCAGGGGCCGCTGGGCCGGGCAGCCCCACCGGAGCGGTCCTCGGGAATGCGGGGGAAGCGGCTGCTCCTCTGCGTGGGGGTGCAGAGGGCTGGGCAGGGGTCCCCACGGCTCGGCTCGGGGCCCTTTAAGGGATCCTAAGCATGCGTGGGCGAAAAAGGGCCCAGCTGGTGCTGTGGGCTGGGGCGGGAACCGTGTGTCCCGGGAGCGCTTCTGCCCGGCCGCAGGCAGTGCTGCGGCAAGGGCCCTTTCAGGTCACCTGGGGGCTCCGTACCTGGCTGGGCAGGAGGGAAGGGTGGCTTTGATCAGGCACCGGGGTCAGGAGTGCCTCCGTGCCTGACACGCCGCCCCTGCTGGGTGGGGCAGCCTGGCCGTGGCGGGAGCGGGCAGGTGCTGGCCGCTGAGGCCCCCCCCACCCACCCACCCGGCCCCCTCCCCAGGGCTCCCAGGACTTCTCGGTCTTCTTCGTCTACGGCATGCTGAGCGGGCTGTGGCTGGTCGTGAGCAACGTCAACAAGCGCCGGCTGCTGATCAACCACCTGAAGGGCATCTACCAGTTCTACATCAAAGGCATCCTGTGGCAGGAGGGGCCGCTGCACCAGATCTACGTCCGGCTCGTGGCCCAGCGCGATGGTACCGGCGGGGGGACCCGGACCGCGTGCCTCCCATGGCAACGCCCCCGCCTCCTGTGCCGGTCTACTTCCCACAGGAATTCTCCCGGCTTGCCTCTGCTCTCCAGGCCGCTCAGGCCTCTCTCATGCCCTGGTCTGCAGCCTTGCCAGTCTCCTAGTCCTCAGGGCCCAGCGCTTCACCTTTCTGTCCCTGTGGGGGTGCTGCAGGCCTGTGCCCAGAAACACTTGGCATGTGAGCTGCCCGCACGGGCTGTGAGGCACCGAAAGTGGCTTTGTTGCCTTCCCAGATTTCCAGGCAGGGGCCACTGCGCGGCCAGTCTGTATTTGGAATCTGTGAGCCCCCCGGCCGGGGACTTGCGCATGGGCCCGATCCGTCAGCGGCCACCAGAGCATTCTCCTTTCTGGACTGCTGAAGAGGGTGGGGAGAGCTTGTCCTTGGCTGCTTTGTGCCCCCCCCCACCTGCACAGAGCATTCCAGTGCAAGGGGGGAAGGAAAGCCCCCCCCCCCCCCTGCCCACAGCACCCTATGAAGGCCATCCTCCCCTTTCCAGCCTATGGGAAGCTCTTCTACACCCTGATCATCAACGGATACCGGCTGGAGGTGCTGACCCTGGCTGAGCTGTCGGACAAGTTTGAGGTGAGAGGGGGATCTCGCCATGCCGGGGGCAACGGAGCGGGGCCACTGCGGGCGAGACCTGCTCCCTTGGTCTCTCGGGCCCCACTGCTGCGGAGGGACAAAGGCACGGGGCGCTCCCCACGGTCTTTCGGGCAAGCGTGGGCGTTTGGGGCAGATTGCGAGGCAAATGGCGAGAGATGTTGCAAATGGCTCTAAGAGGGCACTCGGAAGATGCAGGCTTGCTTCCAGTACAGGCAGGCAGGCAGGCAGGCAGTGCCCCAAGGCGCTCCCGGCAGCCCTGCAGCAGCCGCGGTGCGCTCCGTGGAGAGCCACGGCCACGGGCTCACGCCTGCTGCCCACGGCAAGCCACAGGCAGGCGGGCTGAGGCACGATATGGGGGTGCGGGCTGGGACCCACACCCTCTCGTCCCCCGTGTGACTGGAGAGGAGGGGAGCTCCTTGGGGAGGTCCTGGCAGCCCCCTCCACCGCCTCGTGGGAGCCCCTAACCCTAACCCTAACCCCTGCCATGACGCTCTCCGGCTGATCCTGAGCCGGCCCCTGATGCCCCAGCCTGGCCTCCCTCACGGTGGGACTCGGGGCTGCCTTGGCTCCTTGCGGGAGAGGCGTGGAACGGCCAGCCGGTGGCGTGCGTTGCCAGTGGAACGAGGGGCGGGATGACCGGGGGGGCCGAGAGGGGGCGACTGAGCCGCCCCATGCGGCCTGTGCTCCCCACAACAGCAGATACAGGCGCTGGGGCACCGGGTCGCTCGCAACCTGAACCTCAACTACTTCGACTACGAGGACGTCTCCTTGCGCCACGTCATCCGGCACATGCCCCCGGAGAAGTACGAGGAAGACGAGGCGGAGAACGGCGAAAACGTGAGCGTGTGAAGAGGATACGGCGGGGCGGCGGGGCTGCCCACCATTAAACAGAGACGGCACTCTGAGGGATGCGTGTTTGCTCAGCCGCATGCCTGCAGCCCCGTTGACGGAGGGTAGCGGCACTTCTTCCTGCCCTGCGGGTCATGCACGCAGGCGCTCAGAAGGGTCCGTTCTGCCACTCTGCTGGGGATCCCGTGGCCCGTGGGGGGGGCCCACGAGACCGAGACTCCCCCTGCGGTCCTGGGTAGGAGTCATAGGAGAGCGGAAGGGGCCATGAAGGCCATCTGGTCCCAGCCCCTGCTGTTGCAGGACACCAGTTTACACCACCCCACTTGGAGGGCTGCCCAGTGTCTTTCTGGATGCCTCCAGTGCTGGAGAGCCCCCCACCTCTCCGGGCAGCCGGTCCCACTGCCCCATTGCTCTGACAGGGAGGAAGCATTTCCCGATGTCCAGCCTGAACCTGGGTTGTCGCAGCTTGACTTGATTATTCCGTGTCCCGCGCTCTGGCAGCAGCAAGAGGAGATCTCAACTTCCTCCTCCTGCTTTGCTATAAGCCTTTGAGGGACTTCTAGAGGGACATCGTCCCACCTCCCCGTCTTCTCTTCCCAAGGCTGAACATGCCCAGTTCTCCCCGTCTCTCCTCCATCGGAGCCCCACTCCAGAGGGGCCCAGTGTGGCGCATGCCCCCGCCTCCCTGGCCTGCTCCCGCTTCCCAGCCAGAGCTCTCCGGAGGCCTGCTGCGCGGGGCACCCCCTCCCCGCCCCATCCCCAGGACACAATCCCCCCCCCGCCCCAGGTGGGGCCCAGGCTGCTGCTGCCCCCCTGCCCGGGTGGTGCTTTTGTATTCCAAACGGGGTTGTAACGAAAGGCTGCAACAGCCCAGCACCTCTTGCCCTCTGGGTCGCCCCCTCCTGGGTGGGTTCATGGTTGCTGCTCCTGCCGTTGCCCAGCTGCAGGGCCCAGAGACCTCGGCCGCCCCTGGGGGGTTTCCCGGGCTCCAGGCTCTCCGAGGACACGCTCTCAGCGTGCCCGGGGAGGAGGAGGGCTGGCTGCCCCAGAGACGGGAGACCCACCCCTGGTGCGCCTCGCGTGGCCCTGGGACCTCTGCACGGAACGCCGCTGATCCTGAGCCGTCCCAGCCTGGAGAGCCCGTCGAGCAGCGAGAGCAAAGTGGGGCGACCCGCCCCGTGGGAGGGCAGAGCTGGGGCGCCAGCGGAGAGAGGCGAGGGCCATGCGTGAGCCCAGTCCACCCCCGGAGCCGCTGCTCTCTGTTCCAGGGGCCTCCCCTGCCTGCTGCTGGCCTGGGCTGAGTGGGGGCCTGGGCGAGAGCCGCCTCTGGGTCCCCTGGCGCTCACAGCGGTTGCCACGGTGGCCTTTCCAGCCGGCCGCTTGACCCTGGTCCTGCTCCTGCTGGGAGGCTCACCTCCCGGAGTTCATGAAAACAACAGCCAAGTAGTTGACCAATAATCTTGTAAAAAACAAGTATGAACCAGATGACTGCAAAAGCTCCTGTCATTGCTACCCAGTATCACAGGAATGCGAAGGCTGCTTTCAGAGAGCAGCACCTTCACAGTGAAAACGCCCTCGGAGCATCCGAGCATCCGCCTCTCTGAGGGCGAAGTGACCCGGGCCGCGTCTTGCCACGTGTCGCTGGGCAGAGCGGCGCCCGCCTCCTCCTCGGCCAGCAACGCCGACGAAGGGAGCACTCAGGCGGATGGCCGTCTGCCTTCCCGGCAGCCACGCTGGCACCGAGCCGGCTGCCACTCCGGGACCTTCCCCCTTGCAGCATTGCCGAGCCAGCTCCCCCATCCTGCAGCTGCGCCTTTGGGCCCCTTTCCCGAGGCGCAGAACTGCGCCTTGTCTGTCCTGGATGACATTTTGGGCCTTCGTCCAGCATCCCAGTCCCTCGGCATCGCTGGAACTTTGCTTCGGTCCTCCAGGGCATCTTCCACTCAGTCTTGTGTCATCTGCAAATTCGACACACGTTCCCTGCACCTCCTTGTCCAAACCATTCATAAAAATGTGGAAGAGCACGGGGCCCAGGACCGAGGCCCCCGGCACCCCACTCCATGCTGTGGGGTGCCCCCGTGAGCATTCTCCGAGTCGGATTCGGCAGCCCGCTGTGGGGCCATGTGAGAGTCGCTCCCTCTGGCCCACCTTGAGCGGGTTCGCCGCCAGGGTATCATGGGGCGCCTTGTGCTGCAACGGGCCCGCGTTGCCTCGCTCCCGCCGCTAGATGGCGCTGGCGGCCTTCGTGGAGCTGCGCGTCCAGGCTGGAAGCGCTCCCTGCGCCTCCTTTTTGCAGCAGAAGCCAAAGAGGCGGGGGGGGGGGGGGGGGGGGGCAGGGCTGCCGTGGACCGCAGGCACAGAGGGCCGACCTCGGGCGAGGAGCGGTCTGCCTGGCGTCGGCAGGGTCAGGGACGAGTTTCGGGGAGACCAGGTGGGGCACGGATCCACACCCCTGGCGTTGTGCCCCCTGGCCTGCGTCTCTCGGCCCGTCCCCAGCCTTGCTTCCAGCTCTGACACCTGCTTTCGGGGCAGAGGGCAGGTAGTTTCTGAAAATCCCCCGCGGCTGGAAGGCAGCTGCGTGTGCCACGTCAAAGGAGCAGGCGTGGGGGGGGGGGAGCAAGGCACAGTGCAAGAGGCGCTTCCCAACTTTTACGATGTGGTGTTAGCTCGAGGAAGAGGGTCTCCAGCAGCCGGGCCCCATCGCCGCCGAAGAGAAATGCTCCCCCGGATGCCGCTCTGCCATGTGCGCTGCTTACGGGCCGTGCAGCCTCCACCCCGCTGTGCCGCGGGAGGGCTGCCTCCCCGCAGCTCTTCTTGGGCACGGTGGGCTGTGGAGGCTCCCGTCTCCTTCGAGGCTTCGTGCCCCCCTGCCCCACCCAGGCAGCTGCACAAGGGCAGGGGCTGCCGCCCTCCGCTCTGGCTGCCGCCTGCCCACAGGCTAACCCGGCATGTGCGCTGGGGGGGGGGACCGGGCTGTCCGTGCAGGGAGGGTCTGGCGGCAGGAGTGGTCGGCTGGCAATGCAGCACATGACCCCAGAGCGAGCTGAGCAGAAACCTGCAGCATGGCTGCTGGGGGCGCAAAACGTGGGGCCAGCACCACTGCTCTGCCTCGTCACCCTGAGCTGGAAGCCCCACGGAGGCCCCTCGCAGGGGGAGGCCGGCTGCCCTTGCAGCTTGTCCAGAAGGGTGCCGGAGGAAGAGGAGACCCGGAGGGCGCTGCAGCCGGGATCTGCCAAGCCCCCCCCCCCCCCCCGGGCCTCCCGGGTCCTGTCCCCAGATCTGCCCTGCTCCCCAGAGAGGGGCTTCTCCTGCGCTCCGGCAGGTCTTTGCTTTCATTAGCCTTATCGCTTCTGCCACCTTTGCCCATCAATCACAGCGGCCGTCTCTCGGGTCCGAGGGGAGGCAGCCGTCTGGCGGCATGTGATTGGCCTTGGGGAGGCTTTGCCGCCTGGCCCCCTCCAGCTCGGCCGCTCGGAGCGTGTGTGTGTCTGCGGAGCAGCCACCTCCGTCAGGCCGGGCCAGGCCTCCCCTCTCCATGGCCCTCCAGCCAGGTCTGGGCCCAGGGCACTCAGGGATGCGAGCGCAGCCTCTGCAGGCGTGCAGCGTGCCCACAAGCCTGCTCAGCCGGGCCGCCCCAGGGCAGGGCGAGGGACCCCCGAAGTGCACGCGGGGGCCCCCAGGTCGAGGGGATGCTCCGAGGTGGAGGTCCCAGGGCACTGCTGGGTCAGACCCTCCGAGCCCCCGGACATTCCTTCCTTCCCAGCACCTCCTCTGCTCCAGTGTGCCGGCCTGAATCACAAAGGACCTGTGTCACTTTATCCATAGCTAGTATTGTTTGAATTTTATTTTATTTTTCACGTTATATTGCTTTACGATCTGAAAGCTGGAGCTCTCTGACCCCTTCGTTGCCTCATCCGGAGGAAGCAAATGCCATCAGATACAGCATTTTTTTTAAAAAACGGAACCGAATCTGCCCAGAATGGCCTGCGGCCGCTTTTCCCCCACAGCAGGAACCCCAGGAGCCACGTATAAAAGAGAAGAAAGCTCCCCCGGGCCAGGTTGCTCCCCCGCCCCCCCGATCTGTCGGCCACAAGGCCCATGAGGCACTGTCAGCACGGCCAACCCAAGGGCCCCCATCAGGTGGCCGCCTCTTCTGTCTCAGCAACGGGGGGAACCGGGCGGTCTCGTGTGACTGGCCGTGCGGGTCGCCAGCAGGGAAGGGCCGGGCGCTTGGCCGCGCAGCAGCGGGCCAGAGGCGCGGAGAGACCCAGGGAGGGCCTGGCCCCCTCTGCGCCGCGGATCAGCTGCTCCCTCGGCGCCTCCGAACGCGCAGCGGCGATGCGCGCACTGGCGGGGCCGCGCACGCCCCGCGCAGCTCCTCCGACGCTCTGCAGCCCCGGGCAGGCTCCGCGGGGTGCTCGGGGCGAGCCGCTAGAGGTGCTCCCCCGGGCCCCTCAAAATGAGAGTGAAGTCGTGCAAACGCGGTGGGGGGGCGGAAATCCAGCCCGCCCGCCTCGCCTCGCCCCCGCTCCTGACCCACCCAGGCTGGGTCTGCAGCGGCGGAAGCCCGCAAGCCCCGTGGCCGTGGCAGGCGCCCCCTCGGACTGCTGCTGCGGAGCGAACAATGGCCCAGGCCACCCCCACCGAACGAGCCCTCCGCCGCTGGGCGGGCGGCTGCCCGGGGCCCCCCGGGGGTGGGGGCGGGGGCTGATCCGTTTCTTTATTTACCGCTTCATTTGCGATCAGGGGCAGCGACAAGCGGCGCGGCACAAAGGCCGGGCGGGGACCCGCGCTGGGTCCTAGCGCCCCCTCCCCCGGCGGCTCTGCGCACGCCCGGCGCCCCACGGCCGCATCCCGCGACGCCGGCCTCTGCGGCGACCCCGGGGCGGCGGGCCACGGGGCGCAGGGGGCCTCCGGGCGCGCCGCCTGCCGAGAGGGGCCCCGCCGGGCCTGGGTGC